AAATGCAGTGACAGATAGAAGGTGGAGGGAGGTCACTGGGGACATTGAAGAGAAAGAAAAGTCTATTAAAAATGTTTATATGACTTGCTGTAAAAAAAATCATGTTTCAGAGATGTAAATAATACTTCTCTTAATGTCCATGCATAAATGTAGAAACTGTTTATATTTTATGTGTTCTGTACTCCCTGCTTTAAAAGTGTCATATATGCATTAAACAATATCATTCAAAAGCATTAGCCTATGCTAGCATATATATCCTTGGTGTAACAAACATATGTGAAAAGTTAGGACATTCCTTGCTATCCAGGCTTGATGTTACCAGTTTTTGTAGGAACTACTTCAGCAGATAATTTTGCTTTCCCTAGATCCAAGAGTATGTATGCAGCCTTCCTAAAAATATGTTGTGGGGGCTAAATGTGTAAAAAGGACATTTACAGTCTACGTGGTAGTCCTCAAAGCTTCCGATCCTGCTGAGATACAGATTCAAATGTAACACTGTCACCTTGCAGTGGTATCATAGCTTAAACTTCAAGAGCACGGTGGGGGGTAGGGGGATGAAAATGCTGTTATTATGGCCTCTGTTTGCCAAATTACTTATTTTAATTACAAAGGAATTTAATCTTGCTGTGTCTGTTTTAATACTGGAAATGTGCTTACAGAACCTGCCTGACAAATATATACAGAGGTATTAAACTCTGTTGTTTTAGGTCATGCTTCCTGATGGTACAGCTATAAGCCTTACTGGCCTCACTTTACAGCAGCTACTGTTCTATCCTAAGCCTCCTTTGGCCAAGGCTCCAGCTCAAACAGGCCAAGCATACTGTGTGCTGTGCCTGTGCTTTCCCACTGTGACTGTAGTAACAAAGCCAGAGCTGCTTCTTTAGACTCTAAAAGAGTCACACCAGTCTCACGTTTTGGGGTTCTTGGGTAATGTTACTCTAGTCACAGAACTAAAATATCATTTATCTGACAAAATATGTATGAGCATGAGAGGTAAACAATATTTAAGAGAAATAAATGTGTTAAAAGTTGTAAGATTCAAAGTCCCTATTACTTTATACTCATATCAAGCAATTGTTGGGAACCATGTAAGAAATACGTGACACACATTTGTTCATACACCTATTCTAATAGCAAATATTCATCTACTGCCTTTCAAATTCAGAGGACAGCTACTGCTGCCTTCGTGCAGTGCCTCTTTTGGGTCAAGACCACCGTGGTGCCTTCTTTCAGGGCACCAGTGAGCAAGCATCCACAGTCAATCAAAGTAAATTTGTTCCTTGATGTACATCCCACCTGGTCTCCTCAAAATAGGGCTTTCTTGGCTTGTGCCAAATATAAATTCCATTATTTATATTTATGTATATCGCTGATATGTCCTGAAGAGATTCAACCACACCCTGTCCCTTTTGGTGGACTCTTTAAGGTAGAATGAGATGCTCAATATTTGTGCATTTTAATAGAATCAAGACTCTTCTGCCTACTCATTCTAACATAGGATAAGAATGACAGTGTCACATACAGAGAACAGAACACTCCTTTGGTTGTTTCTACATGCTTTTTTTTGGCCTCATTTTCTCCTCTGCTGAGCATTTGAGTCCAAATTTAGTAGGAATGACTAAGAAATTTCCAGGATGTGACAGAGCATTCAGTTCATTGAGTCCTTCCTTGTCATTTTCCAATAGTTGTAACAATTGCCAAGACTTCCTCTTAACTTCGTAGGTGCCACATTATTCTCAAGAGCTGTTAAATCACTCATGCAAGATCTGTCCATGCAATGACAGCTTCCTTATAAACATAGCTGAGTTTATACTGTGCTATAAAGGAAATTCCCTGCAGATGTTTTAGAATCTGATATTCCAATAAATCATATAATTTTCATTATTTAGTCTCAGTGACTGAAATCCAGCATTCACACTAATCAATGATCCATCCACTAATCAACTGGTCTTCAATAAGCTAGGCAATGTGACCTCTCATGGCTGGGGCTGGAGGTAGGAGTGGCACAGCATAGATTTGGAAATATAAGTTCACAGTCAATGTTCATGAGTATAAATCATGTACTGTTAGTGACCTAGATAGAACTTCTGAGTGTCAATATAGATTTAATCAGTCTGATTGGGAGAAATCACATATAATTCAAAATGAAATTATATTTAAAGAAGACCTTGAACAATGAGAGGAAAGCTAGCAGACAGAGAAAGAGTAAACTAAGGAATGGCATTTGGAAAGGCATGTGTGGTTCAGTGGTGGAAGACCAAAGAATGGGGATAACTGGTTAGTAGAGGAAACATCCAGTCATTATTTGCATATTTTACAGGCAAGGAGAAGTCATTAAGAGTTCATGAGGAAGAGAACCTTATTTTAGGAAAGCAAACATCAGGAGAACAAGGAAAACCAATTAGGGGATTCTTCGAATAGAAAAGTCACATACTAGAGCACTGGCTCTAAGGAAGGAAGGTGAAGGCTATGAGATCATGAAACAGCACAAGAGTGAATGCAAATGGCCTCTGGGTTTAAGTGTCAGCAGCTGAAACTTGGTAGATTCCAGATACTAAAGAAAACTGAAGGGATAAGTAGGAGATGGATTAAGTGTTGACCTGTACTTCAGCTATTCTTTTTCTTTTTGTTTTTTTCTTTTTTTTCCTGATTTGAAATTTTTCCATCCTTTGGGACTCAGATAAAATGATCTCTTCTGTCAATAAGAATATTCTCAGTGTCCCCATTAGAATTAAGTCTGACTTCCACCTCTCAGACAGTATATTATTGGCACTCACTTTTTGTACTCAAGAGAACATATATGCTCTACCCATATGCCCGATCCTTTCAGATACAGAGTAAGTTAATGGGATGCATTAATTACCTATGAATTTGTAAGTATCATTCAAATATGTAATTGACCATCTGAAAATGTATATGAAATTAATGAATACATGCTATCACGCAAGATGTTAAGCTTAGCATTATTTGGAAACATGACTTAGAATATACATTGATCCCATCCACTCATTCTCAAGTCAGGAATATGTTGTTTATATGGTTGAACAGAGTCATCTAACTTGATCAACTGGATCATTTACCAGATTTACTTGCAAATGAATCTGACTTTTTACGAAAGGAAAACCTACTTTCTAAGGATGAATACTTTATCCAAGTAATGATTTAATTCAAAAAGAACTCCAGAAATTTTCCTCATCCCTAGAGAAAATGTGGAGAGTTTTTTCATCAAATGTCTTTGTAGACCTACTTTGGCTTTCTCTGTGTTGAGAAAACCCCACAAGGAGAAATTTTCACAACCCGTAAATAGAACTCTTTTAAGTTTCTGCCATGTGACAGTTGCCCCAGAAGTACATTTATGCTTTAGTAGGTTGAATTTGTGTGACTCCTGGGAGACCTGTGGTGTATATCTACACTAAATAAAAATAACCCCCAAAGATACTCTGAACAAATGTGTTCTGCATAGCAAATGGGGCATCTGCCATATTACTGAATGTGGTAAGCTTTAATAAAAAAGAAAATAAAATTGCCTGCATGCTTTCTTTTCAAAGAAATGCTGAGAAATGTGTTCCTTCTTGACTAAAGTAACTTTTAGATGTTGTTGCTTACCTGGTATGTATTCTGAGAATGATATTAAATATGAAAATGGAGGAAGGAAGAACCACAGAGATACTGTGTAGAAAAGACCAGTGGCCTAGAAAAAAATGCACAGCAATGGCTCTTTCAAAACTGGGTAAAATTATTAACTGTTGTTTCTGATAACCTCTCAGTGAATTACAGGGTAAAATCTGATAACATCGTCTTTTATATCTCTACTCCAGGTACCCCCTCTGCTACTCCATGAATTACTTATAGATTAAAATCTGCTCTTTGTTTTCTCTAGCTCAGTAATGGCCACTTTAATGTATGTTTATTCTATGTTGATGTGTATACACACACCAAGGCTTTTGCCCTTGTAGAAATCTATATTGGATAGCAGACTTTCATTTGAATGGTCCATTCTAAAAAAAAAAAAAAAAAAAAAACCCAGCCACGTTCAATTCAATAAAATCATACTCCAGGGTTCAAAGTATTCTTGGTTGTTCTCTTCTGTTTGTAGAATTATTGTAAATTCCTTGCTTCCATATTGATTTGCTTGTAAATGTTACTTTAAGGAAACATTGAGGTTAGAGGTAAATTCTATTTGAATTTAGATACAATGAGCTGAAAAAAATCAATTTTGTTTACCTTATGGTGAAAGATAACTTTCATTATAGAATCATTTAGAAATATAGGCAACCCGCATGGTAAAACTGCTTTAAAACTCAAGCAACTGGCAACCATAATACATGATAACCCCCAAATACATGCAAAGTAATCCCATGGCTGGAGGACTCAGGAGGTAATGACTCAGGACTCAGGAGACACATGTTATACAAAGCCTAGAGACCTAAATTCAATCCCTAGAACCTAAATACAAGTGAAAGGACGAAACACCTCCACATGTATGTTTCCTGACTTCTACGTATGAGCCATGCACATATACATCATACACACACACACACACACACACACACACACATATACAGGTCGTGCACACAACATGCACATGTGGGCAAACATACACACACAATGATAATATAATAAGTAAATGCAAAACTAAATGTTCATTTTTTTATTTATTATTAATAAAAACAAAGATCCATATGATTGCTTTATACTCACTCATCTTTCAATCTGTTTACTCTTGAATTAGTCCAGCAGCATACACTTATGAGTCCTGCCTAAATCTTCCCATTACTTATTGCAAAGAAAGCCAATTACTAAGCCACAGAATTTTCTCTTAAAATATCACATGAATTGCCTTTGGTTTCCAATGATAATAATTTATCCTATTCAAATACAGAATGCCATTCATACAACCTTTAACAAAGTTTGTCCTAAACCAGCATATTCTAATTATTCTACTTGAAATTCACACCCTTATAGACATTGACTTTTTTGTTTATTTATTTTTATTACAGGAACATTTCACACCTGAGTGCAAATTCAAAGAATCGGTGTTTGAAAATTATTATGTGACATACTCTTCAATGATCTACCGTCAGCAGCAATCTGGCCGAGGGTGGTATCTGGGTCTGAACAAAGAAGGAGAGATCATGAAAGGCAACCATGTGAAGAAGAACAAGCCTGCAGCACATTTTCTGCCCAAACCACTGAAAGGTAAATTTGAAAGCCCATGGACTATGGATTCTACTACAAGAAAATACTAATTTAAATAATTTATTTTCGTGCTTTTGAATTTGAAATGCAATTATTCCACATTAGAGCATATATCTTTAAAATTTCAAGCATTTCACAGCACTAAAAACCATCAAGACCAAAATGTAAAAAATCATACAAACATTCAGCCATCGAGAGTAGTATCTACTGTCATTTTAATTTAGCCCATAGTAAGAAACCTAAAGTATCCAAAAATGATTATAGAGGTTAACCATGGGGGTTAGAATATAACCTTTATAGGGAAACTCCTTGGTCAATATCATCCTAAGAACTTTCATTCATAGTTTTTTTTGTTTGTTTCAGATTAATAGAGAAAATAGAGAAAGAAAACTATTGTCTTAGGGTTTCTATTGCTGTGATAAAGCACCATTACCTAAGACAACTTGGAAAGGAAATTATTTTATTGTATACTACCACATCACAATCCATCATCTAATGAATTCAGGACAGGAATGATACAGATTAGAAGCTGATGAAGAGGCCATGGAAGAATATTTCTTATAGAACTCAGAACCATCAGCCACGTGTGATATTGCCAACAGTAGGCTGGATCCTCCCATATCGATCATCAATCAAGGAACTGCCCCACAGGCTTATCTACATCCAGTCTAGTGGGGACGTTCCTGAGGTCCTTTCTCTCTAAATGATTCTGCCTTTTGTCTTATTGATATAAAACTAGCCACCACAATTGACTCCTTATCACCTTTATATTCAAACACATCACTATTCTACTAGAACCTTTCCTTTCTCCTTTGTCCCTAAGATGACATGTTGATATGACTATCATAGTATAAAGCATTCCATTCCAACTTTAAAAAGTCCATGGTCTTTAAATTTTCAAACATTTTAAAAGTTCAGTCTCTTAGAATACCCAACATTGTTTTCAAGTTTAAAGTTTCTCTGAAATATCTATAGTCTATAATATTTCAAAGTCTTTTCAATAAAATGTTTCAAGAAACAAGTTATGAACTTTCTTACTATAACAAGGAATAACCGTAGGATAGTCACAATCAAATCAAATCAAGACAAATATTCATGAATGGAAAAAGTTTGGTGTTTGACATGTGTGACCAAAAGTGCCTTGGGAGCAGTACTTCTTCATCCTTGCTATTATTCATAACACACATAACTTAGCTTCTGGGCTCAACCCAGCTCTGCTCTACAGCTGCTGCTCTCCTTGGTGGTCATCCCATGGTACTGGCATCTCCAAAGTGTGAGGAGCTGTACTTCACTAGCCCTTCACCATTACCACTAGCCTCTCTTGGGCTTCTCTATTCAGGGATTCTTACCCCACACGTACGACCAGTCCAGTGTCTCTCAATGGCCCCTTCAGTCTTGGACCCTCAACTTCTACTGAGGCTCTCTCCATATGGAGGGAGAGAGAGAGAGAGAGAGAGAGAGAGAGAGAGAGAGAGAGAGAGAGAACTTTCTTTGCCTCTCATATACAAAGCCTTAGCTTCTCTTTATGAATCCTTCATGCCTTCAAAACTACTAACACCTGGGAAGCACACAGCAATTTTCGCTGCCAGCAAAGGTACCACCTTGGCCATCCTTGGATGCACCATAGCTCTGGGTGTTGACCCTAAGGAAATCCTTCCCAGAAGATCTTGCTCAGTGATGCTACTGTCTTCTTAATTAAATCTGATTCTTTAGTTCCAATTGATATGTATCAATTGTCCCAACAAAGCAAAAGTTTAACTTTGATGGATCTTAATTCAAAATATCATCAAGTGACCCCATGTAGTCTTCAAAGGTCTCTAAAAACTTCCCTCAGATACTGCTCAAGCTATGCATTGATTTCAGGCCTATATTAGTTTTTGTTCCTATAACATCTCACTAAGCTCTGAACACTCAATTGCTTTTCCAGCACAGAGTTCCAAAGTTCTTCCACAGTCCTCCCTAAAATATACTCATGTCTGTGACAGAAATACCCAATGACCTGGTACTAATTTATATTTTAGTCAGGGTTACTATTGCTGTGATAAAACACCATTATCAAAGTCAAGCTGGAGAGGAAAGGGATTATTTTGCTTTCACTTTCATGTCACAGTTTATTAACAAGGGAAGTCAGGGCAGAAACCTAGAGCACAGAGCTAAAGCACAGGCCAGGGAGGAAGGCTGCTGCTTACTGGCTTTTTCAGCCTGCTTTCTTATAACCCCCTGGAGCAGCAACTCAGTGGTGATACCCTATATACAGTGAGCTGGGAACTCCTATATCAATCTAAAAAATGCTACCATAAGCATGCTTACAGTCCAGTCTTGTCGGGGCGTTTTCTTTATTGAGATCACCTTTTCCCAAATAATACTAGTTTATGTCAGGTGGACATAAAACTAGCCAGAATAGCTATTAAAATAAAGTGGGAGATGGCAATATTAGAGGAGAGCATAGACAAAAAAACAGAAAATGCAAACAAAATAGGAGATTTCCTACCTGAGATTACAGTAGAGACTTAAAGAACTACTTATCCCCTTACCTACATGTGCACACAGCTTAAGATAAATGTCACACTGTGTTTTACAGTTCATTTTCTGGAGCCAGAATAGGTGAGTTCGAGCCCCAGCTTCCATGTTCACTGACTGGGTGCTTGGATTGTGTGTATTTGTTTTGCTTGTTTGTGACAGATTCTCACCTATGTAGATGTCTCATCACAACTGGCTTCAAAATCTTGGCCATCTCCCCTCAGCCTCCAAAATGCCAGAATTTTAGGCATTTGCCACCATGCCCCACTGTTAACTGAATGATCTTGAAATGTTACTTACTTACATGTGGCTCATGATCATCAGGCCAATATAATAATATTCAGTGGGTGGATGGCTCATGCCTATTATCCCAGCTAGCTCAAAAGAGGCCTTAGAGGCCAGTCTAGGTTACCTAGTGATACCAGAGCAGCCTAGGCTACAGTCAAACCCTATCTCAAATTTTTTTAAAAAATGAGTTTTTAAATCATATAAATATAGCATTCTTACAAGGACAAATGTAGTGATGTATATGGTGAACTTAATATTTAGCATGTTGTACTCTGCAAGTATATGCACATGCTGTGATTTGTAGCCCAACAATAATAATTGCTACCATTTATTGCACTAGAATCATGATAATACTTTTAATCTTAGAGTTTTATTTTAAAGTATGATGGAAATCAGTGTTTTAAAATGTGTAAAATGTTAGTATTAAGCTTTCATAGTATGTTATAGATTATATTTAATCTTCTGAGAGCTTTATTAAATATGTTTTCATTAATCCTGGGATAGAAGTTAGGCATTAAAATCCATTACAGGGCACTAAATGAGGACTAAAAGTCACTTAATCTAGTCTCATCCACTCTGCCAAGTACTTTTTAATGTTTGCCTTAGTAAGCAAAAGAAATAATTTGATCTTTTTTGTCTTTGTTTCTTTTCAGTTATTAAAACTAAGTCTTTTGATAAATAAAAGTTTTTTATTGTGTTTAAGATATTATTTTTAAAATGTATTCACTGTGGAATGGCTAAGGTGAGATAACAAACATGAGCTTTGATTCCTGTACTTAGAAGGTTTTTATATATATACGTATCATTTATTTATTATTTTCAAATCATAATTCATTCACACAGGGGTTATAAACACAGAAAGGCAGGATGTGGGGAAGGGAATGACACTGGAGTGTGGGTGTTCAGGGGGAATACAGATATCTTCAGAACAGGGTATCAGCTGGGTGAAGGTTCAGGGGACAGATCACTATGACTCTGCCTATGACTCGCTTGTGCTTATCTAAGTTGGTATTGTCTGCCAAGGCTACCTATTTACAAAGTCTATGACTACTCAGGCTGGTAAGACTTAGAAGTTTTAAAGTGAGAATACCTAGGTTCTGTTGGAGAAATTTTGAATACTATAATACATTGGTGTGCCCCTTTAAAACTCGTTTACACCATCTCTATGCTTTTCAGTGGCCATGTACAAGGAGCCATCTCTGCACGATCTCACGGAGTTCTCCCGATCTGGAAGTGGGACCCCGACCAAGAGCAGAAGCGTCTCTGGAGTACTGAATGGAGGCAAATCCATGAGCCACAACGAATCAACGTAGCCAGTGAGGGCAAAATGAGGGCTCTATAACAGAACCTTACCTCCAGGTGCTGTTGAATTCTTCTAGCAGTCCTTCATCCGAAAGTTCAGACCTATCAGTGAGGTTTACCAAACACACAGGCAGAGTTCCCTATTCTATCTGCCATTATACCTTGTTATCATCCATATTAAAGCCCCTTAATTTAGATTAAGCTTGTGCAAAAGAATGCCAAGCATTATCAATGAACTAAACCTGGAAGAAGGACTGCCAAATTTTCTCATGATCTCACGTATACTTTGGGGATAGATAACACAGCAAAAATATTTAACAGCACGAATGCTGGTCAATTTGCTTCCCAACTAAGAAATTTTAAAAGACCACAGCTATTCATAACAAAAGAAAACAACAAAACAAAGTTAACTGCTTAAATGTTTTGTAGGAGCAAACAAATTCTGTGAACTGTGCTGTTTTCTTGGCTTCGTGTTTTCTATCTCTGCTTGATTCAAATGTACTCTTTACTTTCATATAGTGCAACTTTATGATTTCTGAAAAATAATGGTTCTATTGACTCTGTCACTTAATCCATAACAACCTAGCGCTCTCTCTCTCTCTCTCTCCCTCCCTCCCTCCCTCCCTCCCTCCCTCCCTCCCTCCCCCCCTCTCTCTCTCTCTCTCTCTCTCTCTCTCTCTTTCTCCTTTTTTGTTGTCAATTAGAACTGTAGCATTCTGGTCAAGTTCTTGTGCTGTACTTTGTGCGTAGAAATTGAGCTGTATTGTCAATCCCAGTCAGTAAGATAAGTTGAAACAAGATTATCCTCAAGTGTAGATTTCTCTTAATTCCATTCGTGTATCATGTTAATCTATTGTTGTGGCTTCTTGTGTAAAGACAGGAACTGTGGAACAGTGGCATTGTCTTTCATGTTGTTCAAATAAGAACTGTCTCATCTGTATATGTACAAGTCCTCCTGCCATTGGATTTGTCACGTGAACATTGTGTACAAGGCAATGTTAAGAATGGTTCCCCCTAAACAACATATATTATCCTTGCTACTGGAAAAGTGTTTAAGACTTAGCTAGGTTTCCATTTAGATCTTCATATCTGTTGCATGGAAGAAAGTTGGAATCTTGGCATAGAGTTGCATGATATGTAAGATTTTGTGCATTAATAATTGTTAAAATCTGTGTTCCAAAAGCGAACATAGCATGTACAGGCAGTTTTCTGCCCTGTGCACAAAAAGTTAAAAAAAAAGTTGTTTAATATTTGTTGTTGTATACCCAAATACGCACCGAATAAACTCTTTATATTCATTCAAAGAAAAGAAACTTCAACGTGCATTTATTATCCATTATATGCCATCAACTATATTAGAAACTGGACTTAACACTAAATTTCATGTATAAACCCACTGACTTCAGATAGGCTCCAGTTTATGTTCACATGAGCACTCTTCATACTGTGTCTCTTAGTCTTCAACTTTCAGATTGGTGCTCAAGAATCATCCTTGTTATTCAGCAGTCAAACTGTCTGAGGATCTTGGAGCTAGTCATATGTTCTGCATTCAGTGTCATCCCCAACCTTTGGCTCATTTAACTCCTCTGTAGAGGAAAAAAAATCCACAGGACTAAAGAGCTAAATCCTCTTCCATCTCAGAGCGTGTAAGGAAAATATAAGCGTTCTTTCCTGTGGGTGCCTTTTATCTAGTTCCCCAGAGTTGTTTATGCTTGACAAGGTTTTGGAGTACTCAACATGGCAAGAATGGAGTAAACCAAACAAAAAGCTGTGTTTCAAAGCAAATATGACATATTTTATCATGACACAAACAGTGTTTTTAGGGAAATAATTGTGTTGATTCCCAAGATGCTTGGGGCAAATTCAACAAAATCTACTCACTGGTCCCAGCCCAGTCACTTTGTGGCTCCATCCGAAAGAGGTAAGACTGCTTGTTTATTTTGAACTCAAGATACAAACACCTGTAGACTCCCTCTGCTCCCTTTGTTTATCTCCCTTTGGCTAAGCACTTCAAGTTTCTTTTTGGCTGTTAGGGTTGCTGCTCTTATTTCTTCATTATTCAGGAAGATACATCTACTGGTCATAAATGGATCAGCCCTTCGTTGGGTCAGGAAGCCCTGCAAGTACAGAAGGGTTAAAATGCCCAGAAAGAAACTTGGACTCTCAAAAAGGTTCTCTATGAGCTGTTTTGTTTTGTCAAAACAAAATCTTACTATGTAGTAATATCTGGCCTAGAACTCATAGTAGACCAGGCTGACCTGGAACTCACTGCAGTCTACCTGTAACTGCTTGGAGTTATTTTGAATAGGTTATATTTTTTAAAGTAAACGAAGAATTCAAAACTGTCTATAAGTAGTGATAGTGTTGCCCAGGCTACCATGGTAAACATATTAGTCCTATCATATGCTTCATGAAATTTTCAAAAAATAAATAAATAAAACAGTTCCATGGTGAAACAAAAGACTGAGAACAGCACTGTTGCTTATCTGACCTTCACACACATCAGGATTGGCAGGGAGGTTTAGAAGGCCCAAACTGCTGGAGCTTACCTCTAGTGATTACAATTTGCAGTAGGTCCGAGGTTTTGAATCTCTATCCAGTCTCTATGTTGTACTGAAGCTGCCTGCTTCCCTTCTTGGATTAAAAATGTTTGAGTCCATTCCATACTGCAGAGCACCAAGATAAGGAACTCGGTTTAACTTTGAAAATTTTTATTATATACAGAGCTGATTATAGAGTCCTATTTTCACAGAGCACCTATTAGCACAGCAGTAGAGGGGTAGACCTGAAGCTTTGGGTCAATACTGGAATCCCACGGTAGAGATTATACATTTGCATGTTTTTTTTCTTTTTGTGGGTATCCAGTTTTCCAAGAATCATTTACTGAAAATGCTATTATTTCCCCGTGTGCAATCTTGGTTTCTTTGATACCATCAGGGGTGCTCACTACTGGATTCTCCATTGTATTCCATTGATCTGTACGCTTCTTCCCATGCCTGTACCATGTTCTCTTATTTATTGGAGATTTGTAATATTTTGAAATTAAGTAGTTTCATTGTCTCTATCTTCTTCTTCTTCTTCTTCTTCTTCTTCTTCTTCTTCTTCTTCTTCTTCTTCAAAACTGCTTGTATGGGGGTCTTTATGGTTTTAGAAAATTTAGCAGGATTGTATTGAACCTGTAGAAATCTATTAAGTAGTATGGACATTTTAACCAGCTAGTGTTTTCAAATCCACTTATTTATATCTTCCTCAATTTCTTTCTTCATTGTTTTATATTTTTCAGTGTATAGATCTTTGACCATGATTGAATTTATTCCTAGGTATTTTATTTTAATGGTATTGTGAATAGGATTATTTTATTAATATTTTGGACATCTCATTGCTAGCATATAGAAGCACAACTGATTTTTGTGGGTGGATTTTCTTCTTTTTATTTTCTTTTTTTATTGGATATTTTATTTGCATTTCAGATGTGACCCCCCCCCCTATGGTTTTATAGTGGCTCTAGGGAACCTTCTGAATTGGGTGCTAGTCATAGTTTAGGGACTGTCCGGAGACTGCTCCACCTGGGTATCCATCTCATGTGTAGTCACCAAAGGTAGATGCTGATGTGGATGGCAGGAAGTGCATGCTGACAGGAGCCTGATATAATTGTGTCCTTAGAAATCTGCAAGAGTCTGACATACACAGAGGCTGGATGCTCACAGCTAGCCATTGAACTGATCATGGGGTTCCCAATGGAGGAGTTGAAACTTGAAAGGGCAGAAACTTGTCATAGTCCCTCCCTAGTACACTAAAGGCACCTGGCAGGTCATGTTTGCTCAGTCAATACTCGAGTTTGCCTACTGCCCTGTAGTATTTTTTTCTGTAGGAGCTCCCTGACGTTAAAGACTTCATGAAGATGGTGGAGCCATCCACTCCAGACTCCAGACTTACCTCAGAGAAGATTCCCAGTTTCTTTTTTTGGGGGGTAGGGGGGCACAAGCTCTCTTATGTGGGGAAAAATTATAGGCTGCAGTGGTGGTGGAGGCCCAGAGGCTTTCCACGCTGCAGGCCCCACATGCAGGAGGACCATCTATGGTTCCAGTGGCCTGAGACTTTGGCAGTGGCAGGCCCCAATAACACGAGGAAGTCCTTGGTTCCAAAAGGGTTTATTGTCATGGTAGATGGTGGATGAATCTGGAAGTACGCCCAGTAAAACTCAGGGCAGTCCCGAATTAAATAGGAAGGGAGAAAGGGGGGAGGATCTCGGGAGGATCTGGGGAGGCATGCTTAATTAGCTCTGCCCTCTGGCCTTCATTAGTATGTAAATCCCTAGGGCCTGAGGCCTCTAGTCACTCCCTCTACCTGTGCACTTTGGGAGGGGCTGTAATGGCTGGCTTACGTGACTGAACAATGTATTTCTATGGAGACTAGACTGCTCTTCAGGACCCTGGGTTCTGGGGGCGCACCGAACTCCTGCTGGTTCTCACGCAGAGTCTCGGGGTTCTAGGCACATGCCCAGCCATGAATCAGAATACCCTTACACAGTCCCACACTCTTATAGCTCAGGCTAGCCTCAAACTGATTATGTAGCTGAAGATAGCTTTGAACTCCTGATTGCCTCAGTGTTGAGATTTGCTGAGATCATGTGTGTGGCACAATGCTTGGTCAGATTTTAATTTCGCTGCAAACTGCTTCACTTCTGTAATTTCACTTTAATAAATGTAGTCAATTAAAAAAGAAGGAAAAACAACAATAACAACAAAAAAGCAATGTTCTATGGCATAGCAGCTGACCTCACTTTAACCCCAGGGGATGTATATGCAACCCTTACAATGTATAGCGCCTAGAATCAAATGTAGAAAAGAAAACTATTATTTTCTTTCTGCTAATTGCAATTCTTTGAAAGTAAAACAAGTATTACCAACCAGAAATTTTGTAAGTACTGCAAGAGGGCTCAGGTACATGTTACCAACCATCCATTTGTGGAAAGGGTGAATACCTAATAAGATCATCGTTCCATCTGTGGAGGCTGATTATAATAATTCTGTGCATAAGTGGTGGTAGACTCAGGACAGATAATCACTTCAAATTATTTCATCATAAAATGCCTGAAAAGCCTCATACGCTGGAGTGTACTATTAGTGGGTGAAATTGCCCTCCTCACTGGGATGTTTCAGAAACATCCAGCTTTATACCAACAATCTTAACAAGGAAATCCGTACCTTTCTAGCATATTTTCAAAATTTTTTCAACGTCTGTTTAAAGCCAGCTCCACATTTTAGGTATTGATTATAGCAGAGTCTCCCTAGCTAGTAACAAAATCTAGAATGGGTTGTAATGATTTCCAGTTATAAAAATAATTGAATTATAGCTAGAATAAGACACTGTAACCCCAAAGTTGTACTCATGTTTATATAAGAATAGCTTATCATAACTATTCACAAAATATAGTACTATGATATGGCCTGATGCATATCCTGGAATGAAAAATACCTAGGTATCCTGTCATGAAATTACTTTGTTGCTATGCACAATTTCTCTATTACCTCAGGTGCGCCTCCCCCCTTGATTAAGAATGCTGTAGACAGAAGTGCAATAAAAAAATTGCAAGTAATATTGAATGAGAGAGAAACATTACATAGTA